TTGGTGAAGAGTGGCTGGAAAGCTGCTTGGCAGAAAAGCACCTGGGGGTGCTGATTGATGACTGAACATGAGCCAGCTTGTGGCAGCCAAGAAGGCCGATGGCATCCTGGCCTGTACCAGCAATAGTGTGTCCAGCAGGGCCAGGGCAGTGACCATCCCCTGCACTGGGCACTGGTGAGGCCGCACCTCGAATCCTGTGTTCAGTTCTGGGCCCCTCACTACAAGAGAGACATTGAGGTGCTGGAGCAGGTCCAGGGAAGGGCCATGAAGCTGGTGAAGGGTCTGGAGCACAAGTCTAATGAAGAAGAGCTGAGGGAACTGTGGGTTTTAGTTTGGAGAAAAGGAGGTTCAGGGGGGACCTTATTGCTCTCTACAGCTACCTAAATGAGATGGGGTCGTGGTGAGGTGGGGGTCAGTCTCTTCTCCCAAGTAACAAGTGATAGGACAAGAGAAAACGCCATCAAGTTGCACCAAGGGAGGTTTAGATGGGATATTAGAAAAAATTTCTTCACAGAGAGGGTGATCAGGCATTGGAGCAGGCTGCCAGGGAAGTGGTGGAATCACCATCCCTGGAAATGTTCACAAACCGTGTAGATGAGGCCCTCAGTGACATGGTTTAGTGGTGGTCTTGGCAGTCCTGGCGTAATGGTTGGACTTGATGATCTCAAAGGTCTTTCCCAACCTAGTTGATTCTATGATTCTGTTAGTCTGTCTTGCCTTATTTAGAAGACTTCTTCTCTGTCATTCTGCTTTTGATCATTTGTAACTCTTAACAGATGTTGTGGTAGCAAATAATAATAAATCTCAGTAGTAGGGAGATGTATTATCACTTGGGAAAAAAGATGCATTTTAAGGCTATCAGAGAACATACACAGTCTATATGCAATCTCAGTATTTATTTTTTTCTGAAACAAAATCTTGAAACATCATAGGGTAACTGTGAGGTTTTGTTTCCCCATTACAATTTTGAGTACTCAGAGACGTTTTAAGTCTTGTGTATAGTTTTCAAGGGCAATCAGAAAACCTAAACAAAAACAAACCTTGGCCTATTGAACCTTTGCATCTGGAGTCTATGCTGCAGAGATGCTGCCCAGGTCATGCATTGCCTGTAGTTGTCAGTGAGGACTTACTGTCCTGCAAATTTAGATGAAATAAAGCTGGTGGAAGTGATGAAGGCAACAGTTGAGTGAGCTGATAAAAGACCTGCCGATATTAGTACTCTTCTGGGCTCTTTGTCAGCATGGGACATAGACCTAGTTCTCTGGTGATAGTGACTTTGATGTACCTGACTAATGGATTTTGGAAACAGGTCAGAAGCTGCTGGCAGGATGTTTTTTTTTAACTCCAGAATAAATGTACTTGGTTTTATTTTTTTTCACAACAAATTGTGGATAAGCTTAAAGCAAGTACGTTTAAGTTTTGCCCTTGATTGTTTGAACTCATGGAAGAAAGCTGATATTTGTGAAGCCAGATTGCGCGAGAGTATCTTCATTTATTCGGAATTCAAGGTAGCTTAAATGAGATAAGAATCCAGCTGTGTTTTAAGAAACTAGGATAAGATAGAATGATATGCATTTTCAACCTGAACTTCATGAATTTTGTTTTCCATGCCAACTTCCAGAAAACATTTTCATATGTTAGTTTTAAGAAAACATACAAATAGGTATGAAGATATTGCTTTAAATTAAAAAAAAAAAAGTTAATACTTTTACAGTAGTCCTACTATTCTCCAGTAATTCACTGTCTCTGATTTAGTATCATTAATGGCACATTAACCTCAGTGTTAGCTGGGCAAAGAAGGGAGGACTGCTGAGAACTATGCCAGGCAGCACTTCTCCAGGGTCCTGGCCAAAGGGAGAAGTCAATGGTGGCTGGGGATTTTGCTGTCCCTGACTGTCCCCAGTTGGTGCTGCAGCTGCCACCCCATTACATACACCCCTTATCTGGCCGGTAGCAGGAAGAGCATCTGCTCTTAGCTCTCCTCTCCAGTGCCGGTGCCAGTGGAGAGTACAGTCACAGTTGTTTGGCATTTGTGCAAACTTCACTGACTTTCTCTGAACCAAAAGCCAGGCATGAGTGAGTGCTGAATGCAGCTGGGAGAAGCTTTATACATGCTCTGTTTATTTCAGTGGGTGTAATATGTCCCAGTTGTGCTTGTGCTCCATGCCTACCCTTTTTCTGGCTGTTGTTGCCTGTGTCTGAACATCCTCCCAATGGGCATGTCTGAACTAATGCAACAGAGATACGTAGATCTTACATCCTGTATCAAAGAGGGGTTTGGAAACTTTTAACTTGCCTTTCTGGCTTTCTGGCTTTCTGGCTTGAATCCAGAGCAGTTTCTGGGAGGCCGTATGAGTTGTACCATTGGTCAGCTCCAAAGAGCAGAGTCAGAAGCACTTTGCCACAGAACGCCTTGCTGCTGTGGCTTGCATGGGGGATTGCTCAGAGCACAGCCTGCGGTAGCTGCACTGGTATGCAGTGCCCTAAATTTCCTCCCACCCATGGCAGGGCTTCTAGATACTTTCACACTACCCTTAAGACAGAGTTTGGGTAAGACTGTCAACTGTGAGCTATGGGATTGAACCCATAAGAGTTTTTCAGCTGTCAATGCTTTCATCTTACGTATCTTATTCTTACGTCCTACCACTAAGGTTAATTGTATAGATCTAAGAGGAGTATTATATTTGAAATAGGAAAGGGCTTGACATGGACATAATAGGTTCTGCTCTGCTAAGGTGGAACAGTTTTGTTTCGGTTTTGTTCTATTACATGTGTGATGTCTTTTTTGTTTTTCACTACAGCATTTTTGGCTGTGGAAATAATTGGAAATTGTTACCATTTAGGCATCTGCAGGGGTGCGCTTTTATCTCCTTTTCACTTGTAGCCTGTAAAACCAAGGAATTCAAATAAGTTAGAATTGTGTACAGCTATTTTTTTCAGCATAGAAACTCTTGTAATAAACATTATGCATCGTAAAAGCTGTGTTCTAGCCAAAGTAAGTAAACTGTGTTTAAGAAGGTGTATGTTTGCATTTTGCTGGAATGTTGCTCCTAAGACAGGAGTTTTCAAACAGCTATGCACATCTTTACTTTCTCTGTTCAGAGAAGAAAAAGCAGATGGCTTGCAGAACACACTTGCCATCTTACTTGGTAGCCCAGTCAGGTCTGAAGAGGCATCAGCCTTGTATTTATCAACGTGTTGCATTTGGTGTAAGACTCCACTGATGTGTGAGATAAAGCACACATTTACACATCCCAGGAATTTGGAAATGGCTATAGTGTTTAGTGGGCTTGGCAGTTTGTATCACTCAGTTCATTTCTTACACCTCTAAAACCTTTGCGGAGTGCCATGGTGTGGCCCACATTCTTTTTTATATATGTATTCAGCAACGTATGTGTTACATGACTCTTTGCTACTTGCCCCATTCCCAAAAGAGGAGGGACTCTCATCTATTCCTGATATTACTCATCTTGTTTTTTGTCTTGCCGTTCATCCTTCTTGTATATTTGGTGGGATGTCCTTCCTATCTGCAGTCCTTTGTGCTTTCCTTGTCTTTCAGTTTTTTCTTCCTTGAATGAGTCCATGTGCAACTGCTGAGGTTCTGCCCCTATGGTGGTTACATCACTCACACATGTACTTAAAATAATTATGCACTGTGTCTGGCTACACCATCACAAGGTTACCAAATACAGTATTTTAGTCCACTTATAATCTGGGTTTCAGAGCAAACTGATATTAACTACATCCTGGTTGATA